ATGGGAAATTTGGCCAGGATGCTTTTTGAGATACGCCGAAACAAGTAGCAAGGTAGAAGCCACAGCTTACCAGGAAGAAGATAAATGTTCGTCTCTCATTTGCCAAGAAGCACCTGGATGATCCCCAAGCCTATTGGGAGAATGCTCTATGGACAGATGAGTCAAAAGCAGAACTTTATGGACGACATGGGTCCCATTATATCTGGTGTAAAGCAAACACAGCATTCCACAGCATGAACATCATACCAACAGTCAAACATGGTGGTGGTAGTGTGATGGTGTGGGGATGCTTTGCTGCCCTAGGACCTGGAGGACTTGCCATAATTGAAGGAACCGTGAATTCTGCTCTGTATCATAAAATTATCTTAAGGAGAATGTCCGGTCATCCTGAGCTGAAGCTGAAACATAGTTGGGCCATGCAGCAAGACAATGATCCAAAACACAAAAGCAAGTCCACATCAGAATGGCTGAAAAGAAACAATATTCAAGTTTTGGAGTGGCCTAGTCAAAGTCCAGACCCAAACCCAACAGAGACACTGTGGCAGGACTTAAAACGAGCAGTTCATGCTGAATTAAATTCTGAATTAAAGCAGTTCTGTGAGGAAGAGTGGGCTAAAACACCTCCACAGACAGATATTGAGTTACAGAAATTAGTTGCAGTCATTGTAGCTAAAGGTGGCGCAACCAGTTATGTGTATGGGGGCAATTACTTGGATACCTTCATTGACTAAATAAATGAAATAATAAAAAAGTGTTATTAGATAAAGGGAACGTGAGCGAACAAATATTAGATTTTGTCTAAAAATCTGAAAACATCCAGTGTGACAAATATGCAATAACAGAGGAAACTAAATACTTTTTCACGGCACTGTTAATAAAAGGAGCAATGACTGAACTAATTGTTTTGCAATACAGAAAAAAAATCCATATACCTACAGTAATATAAAAATATCTTCTGTGGCTTTTAAAGCAATACGGAGAAATTGTTTGTTCTTGATTGTCTATAAATTCTGACTAAATGCGGGCAATTTTATATTCTGTGCTGTAAATTCATTTCTGATGAGAAGCAATAACAAATACAGTGACGGCACCAAAAATGTAAGCATTTAAAATTTGTTCTTCAGAATCAGGTATATATGCCAAGGGGTGTTTCACTGCAAGATAGGGCTTTAGGTAAACAATTATGCAAGGATGAACCATGAATAATCCATCCATCCATTTTCTAACCTCTTTTCCCAATTCATGTACATGGCCGGAGCCTATCCCAGCAAGCAACGGGTACAAGGCAGGGTACACCCTGAATGGGACACCAGTCCACCACAGGGCAGAGAGAGACACAAACGAAAACACTGACACTTGGGGCCCGTTATCCCAGAAGCTAATTAACTTACCAGCATGTCTTTGGACTGTGGGAGGAATCCAGTGCACCTGGAGGACACCGAAACAAACACGGAACATGCAAACTCCACACAGACAGCACCGCAGGTCCAGAATTGAAACCAGGACCCCAGTACTGGGAGCCAGCTGTGTTGAACATTGAGCCACTGCGCCGCCCACCATGAATCATAACAATGCCAATATCCTAATACATCTGCCCAATTCACTGAGATGTATACAGCTTCAGAACATTACAAATGGTAAATTAATTATGCTTAATTAAAAGCAAATTAAGGGTGCTTTCTGTGATATCTCGAACTTCAGAACAGCACCAAGGCAGCCTTTTACAATAGGCTCTTTCTTTCATTTCACAATAGTGAGGTTCAGTGCATTTGATCTTCTGTGTAAAGGTTAAAACCTCAATCAAAAAAATAAGAGCAATGTGATCCGTAAGTCTAAAAAGAAAATATAAAGCATATACATGATTATCAATATCACTATTAAGAATGATCATTATTTAAACTTAACATATTCCCTACATTTCTTAAAAGTTCATGGAAAGTTATTTCATTACAGAGAACTGTGTGATAGGACTACTCTGCAGAGAGTGGCACATCAATAAAACCGAGGTTCAAGTTGTCAGTGGTCTGAAATCTGAACACTCACAAGAAGAGATGGGGAAAGCTGTGTTTCCAGACGTCATCTTTGCAAACCTGGTTACCGACAGCAAAGTTTCCAAGGAACTGGATCCCACAACGCAAAACTGGAAAAGTCAAGCAAAAAAACATAACTGGATTTAGCCTCACTGAGAGCTGTAATGTTTTTGACAGGCATCAGAGTGGCAGATGACAAAAACCAGAAAGGAAGACTGTCGGAGCCCGAAGCACAGGGATTGGACGGAACATACAGGAGCTGAACAGATATAATCGGCAGAAACAGACTTTGCTTTTCAAGAAGCGATAAATCAACAAAAAGTTTAAGTTTAAATGAAAACAGAAGCCACAACGTTGTGTCAAGTACAGTACAACCGTTACCACAGCAACGTTCCACCTGAAAAAGGAGAAGAAAAGGCAAAAATGAAAGGGACACAGGACAGAACATAGGAAGACAAGTGGAACACAGCTTGTAGCCATATCATCCTGCAACTTGCAACTGGCAGCCCACGCAGCAGGTGTGAGCCTGGTCAGTACCTGGATGGGAGACCTCCTGGGAAAAACTATGGTTGCTGCTGGAAGAGGTGTTAGAAGGGCCAGCAGGGGGTGCTCTCCCTGCGGTCTGTGCGGGTCCTAATGCCCCAGTACAGTGACAAGGACATTACACTGAAAAAAGGTGCCATCCTTCGGATGAAAACCAAGGTCCTGACTCTCTGTGGTCATCAAAAATCCCAGGGCATTTCTACAAAAGAATAGGGGTGTTACCCTGGCATCCTGGCCAGATTTCCCATTGGCCCTTACCAATCATGGCCTCCTAATAATCCACATCTATGAACTGGCTTCATTACTCTGCTCTCCTCCCCACTGATAGCTGATGTGTGGTGAGCGTTCTGGCGCACTATGGCTGCCGTCGCATCATCCAGGTGGGGCTGCACATTGGTGGTGGTGGAGGAGATCCCCATTACCTGTAAAGCACTTTGAGTGAAGAGTCCAGAAAAGCGCTAAATAATTCCTTAGACCTATAATTATTAGAACATGCTGGCACAGTGGTTAGCCCTACGTGGCACTTGGGTCCTAGGTTCAAATCTTGGCGTACTATCTGTGTGGAGTTTAAATGTTTGCAGGGGTTTTCTCTGAGTGGTCCGATTTCCTCCCACAGTACAAAGCCATACTGGTAGCTTTGGCTTCTGGGAAAAGTCTGGTGTGTGAGCGCGTGTGTCTGCTTTTATATCGGTCTGCGCTCCTATGGTCTGCCACCCTGTTCAGAGCATACCCTGCTTTCTGCCCTTTGCTTGGTGGCACAGGCTCTGGCACCCTCACAACCTTGAAAGGGAAAAAGCTGATACAAAGTTAATGGATGGATGTGAGAAGAAACCGGTATATGTCACTCATAACAAGTTAAGGATAGCAGTGTGGAGTAGTGGCTAGGATTGGGTTTTTTTTGCTAAGGAGACACCTTCATTTAAATTAGTATTAACGGAATGGCCAATAGGTCAAGTACGTTAAGGGTTGGATAGGCTAGTAAAAACAGGATTGGCCCAACCTCCACCCAAGTTCTACACTTTCCCCATATTAAACCGGGGGTTTAAATGCTTAGGTCATCCACAACACGCAAACAGGTGAAACAAGAGTAGCAGCGAAACTGATGACAGAAACATTATTTGGCAATGCATTTTGGAATTGCGTGCCCCTTTAAAACAAATAACATTCCTGTTTTAATTTTCAGAATATTGCTTATATGGGCAGTAAAGTGCAATGGTGCCAATCCAGACCCTGAGTGCTGTCTGTGTGGAGTTTGTATGTTCCCCCCATAATCACAAGGGTTGTTTCCAAGTACTCCAGTTTCCTTCCACAACACAAAGACATCCTGGAAACTTACATAGCTCAGAGTTAACATTTAAAGTTAAAAATTTTAGGTAGTAGGCAGATGACTGTGGATTCAAGTCCTGTGTATGCACTCTCTTTCTTAAATAATATCACAATAATGGTAATGTTAGCAATTTCCATTTTGAATGTTATATACTTTCCATGGGCTGCCTGCACAGTAATAATTAAGAAAAATGGTTGTTTTGAGCAGTGGGATTAAATGTAAAAAAAAAAAACTTTATTACACTGCATGTTCAGTACAATGCTGTGTTGTTGGTTTTTGGTGAGGACATGAATTGTGTTCCCTACACAGAAACCTTCTGGCCAACATAGGAAAAATGGAATAAAATAGCTTTACTGAAAACTGTAAACCCTGTGAGTAATGCATTGCTTTCTTCTCCTTAATTTTCATCTAACAATCTCACTTTAACTTCAGTGTTGAACAAACCCTTAATTATAACTCTGCAGACAGCCCATGGAAATTGCGTAACATTCAGACTGAAATTGACTAACATTACTATGATCATGATATTTTTTAAGGAGGCAAGGAACTATAACAAACCCTTAAAGTCAACTAAAAAGAAATTCAGATTACAATCACCTGGAAAGTAATTTATGCATATTTGCATGCTGAAGTACAGTGAATTTGGTCTTCAATATAAATGTTGTAACTCCTATGAGTGCTACATTAATAGCAAGGATCTTCTGTCCCTTTAAACTAAATGTGATTGATAATTCTAAAAATAAAAATATACAGCATACAGTAAACTCGAGTATCACTATCATTATTAAGGACCATTTTATTTTAGCTTTTAAACTTTTCACATTCTCTTTACTTCTGAAAGTTAATGGACAATGAATTTTAAGACCTTGTGTGACGGGACTACTCTGAATGTAGTGGGCCTTTAAGAAAACCAAGGTTCATTTTTTTTATTCTGAACACTGTGAGATGGTTATCACTTCAGCAAACCTTCCAAGGTAAAGATGCGTTCATTTTCAGAGACGGTTACAAGGCAGCACCAAGATTTGGTTGAATTAATAATAATAAACTTTATTTTATATAGCACCTTTAAAGGTGGCTTCTCAAAGCACTTTACCGAATGACAACAACAGTAAATAAAAAGAATACACAAGATAAAACACAATGACAATATACAGAGGAGGCTGTGGATGGTGGTACTAAGAAAAGTTGAAGAGGGGTAAAGAATGGAACCGGTTAAGTAAAGGGTCTTCTAAAGAAGAAGGTGAAAGATGAAATTAAGATGAAAGTGTCTCCTCTCGAAGCAAACAAAGGAAGGATCGCCTCTCACTGCAGTCATGACATGAGAAAGAGCCCTCCAGTGACTCAGCTGGCATCAACAGATTCTATTGTAACTCACAAAACCGAAACCTCAGCATACTCTTGAACAACAGCCTGAGGAGTGGGACATTACTGGTTTGAGGGAAGGTCATTCGGAAAGGGCTGTGGCCAGCTTGGCTGGGGGATCAGAACAGCCTCATGTGAAAATAAAACATCTCACTCTAGACCAGTTTCAATGAAGAATGTTCATGGAACTTGGATAATGACTTTTATGAGGACAGTGTGAAAGAGTTGAGGTTAGGGTACCTTTCAAGACTAGTGCTGCAGGAAATGGTTTGTTTTTGGTTAGGAAGTCGTGGGCTAGGGCTTCCTTTCTTGTTGTGAAAATGGATACGACTGGGAAAGTTCGAAAAAGTGACAGACATACTTGGTATGTCCTGACATTGGTCAAGCATGTGAAACAGACCACTGTGGACTTTCATTTTATTTTGAGCTGTAGAGCACGACTGAACTGCCATTTCCCCATCTTTAATTAGCACATATCTGAATTGAAGGCCTCTTTTCAGTGAGACTCATTACGTGCTTTTTGGTCGCATCTCTTCATAATCATGAAGGATCCCTCAAGAGTATAGGGAATCTGGTACAGTAAAAAAGTATTAGATTTGCAATACCTTTGGGAGTAACGATACAGTTTGATTGAGCTTAAGTAAAAGTAAATATAAAAATCATACAGATCGGTGAACATGAATAAAGACAATCATTCGGAGCTCTATAGTTCTATAGATCAGACATTGCTGGCTAGAGTTTGGGCTATATCATATTTAAAATGAACCATGATTTCTCAGTGGGCAGCATAAACCATGGTCGTGCGCCTCGATTTTGGGATTGAGTTGCTTGAGTCAGCTACAGTAACCCTGATTTTCCAAGTAATAATGACCCTGGGGATTTGCCTGCAGGCTAAGAGCTTGCAGTCTCGTTAGAGTGGAAAAGCCATCTCATTCAGATGTGCTTTGGACATTGTCTATTAGTAACAACAATTCCTTACGCTTACATAGCATTTTTTTTCTGGGCACTCCAATCAGAGTGCATTACAGGTAAGGGGGGGATCCCACTTCCACCACCAGTGTGCAGCACCCACCTGGATGACGCGACGGCAGCCATAGTGCACCAGTACACTCACCACACATCAGCTCTCAGTGGGGAGGAGAGCAGAGTAATGAAGCCAGTTCAGAGATGGGGATTATCAGGAGGCCATGATTGGTAAAGGCCAGAGGGAAATTTGGCCAGGACGTCAGAGTAACCACAGTCAGGACCTCGGTTTTACATCTCATGCGAAGGATGGCACCTTTTTATGGAATAGTGTCCCTGTCACTATACTGGTGCATTAGGACCCACACAGACCGCAGGGTAAGTGCCCGTTACCGGTCCACTAACACATCTTCTAATTAAACCCAATGTTACAATGGTTTTATACTATGTCCCCTGTGATAAATATCTCTTAGCCATAATAGCATAATTCAGTATTGTTGTGTATTTAATCATGTGCTCAGCTTTGGACTTTTATAACTACAGTCCCCACGAAGGGGATAATTTTTTAACATGTCCAGAGGAATACTCTGACACCGTCCTTCGGATGAGACGTAAAACCGAGGTCCTCACTCTCTGTGGTCATTAAAAATCCCAGGGAGTTTCTCGAAAAGAGTAGGGTGTAACCCTGGCGTCCTGGTCAAATTCCCATTGGCCCTTACCAGTCATGGCCTCCTAATAATCCCCATCTATGAATTGGCTTCATTACTTGGCTCTCCTGCCCACTTATATCTGATGTGTGGTGAGCGTTCTGGTGCACTATGGCTGCACTATGGCGTCGCATCATCCAGGTGGGGCTGCACACTGGTGGTGGTGGAGGGGAGTCCCCATTACCTGTACAGCGCTTTGAGTGGAGTG